ATATATACATGTAGGTATACCTAGACTACTTTTGCTAATCTTAAAAATTGGTTAGGTCAGTTTGGTCTGAACTGCAATCTTTATATGTACATATATGTATGTGCACTATATTAAAGCTTATAAGTTATATTTACTGGGGGATTTCATTATCGCAGAAAAAATGTACAAGTATTAACTGGGATACTATAGAAATGCTATAGGATTATTGAAATCGTTTTTATTTCGCTCGTAGGCCTTTCAATTCTATACAAGCTCGTTGATTATATTTTTAATACTCAACACTTATCTAACATTTCTATTTTACATCTAAGATATGTACGTATATATGTACCTCCTCGAATTGTTCTAAAGGAATTTGTTGCTTTAAAATAGTACATTTGTACTCTTTCGCTATTTTCGCCATTTAAACACGGCTGTCAACAAATGATGGTATACAACTTATAATTATAACGAACGCCCCGATTATGGACGTTATGTAGTAAATAGTCACTTACCCAGAATGGTAAACAGAGCGAAACGCATTTTTTATACTTCCAGTATTCCAAAAGTTTTAGAGTAAAAAATAAGCAAAATTTGGCACAAACCGGCTTTGAGTCGAGCTAGAATAGAACTGAATTCGAGACTGTGAGATTTATCACCTTTATATACACGTCCAGTTCAGAGCGTAGCTTTTGAACAATAGCCGGTGACATACACTCACACACGTACAGGCTGATAGACATGATCACATATTTACATACATATGTATGTATGTGAATGTGTGATGATCGGAATCACTCATCCCACACTCAAATTACAGTGTATTAAAAAGTAGACAAGCTTTGAAGTGCATCGTTATTTGTATGAGTAGGTAAAAATGGCAATGGACGGGGACAACGACAGCGCCCGGGTCGATGAGAACAAATGGGAATTGGAATAGGGGAATGGGCAGCGTCCGAGAGGCACGCGTCGGATGGTGTCATTTAGTTTGAGGCGGTTATGCTGGCCCCTTCCCGTGGCCGACGAGCTGCTATACAGACACTGTTACAAGAAATGTGGACAATTATCAAATTAGCGAATTTAAAAAATATGACAAAAAAGGCAAATAATTAAATTATATACATACATTTAGTATTTCTAATCTAAAGCAACATTAATAGAATATATATACACAAATATATTTGTGTAAATGTGCTTTGAATCTTAATACATAAAATGCAAATTACAAATTTACACACATTTGCATTCTTATCGTGTGCAATAAACGGGAATCTGCCCCTTTGATCTAGTTCACGTGACGTTTCTACGGACCACAAGTAAGTCTCTGCCTTTTATATTGTTGAATTTAATGGAATTGTTGATAATAAACGCTGATTGTTTTTAAGATCTGCTTAAATTCAGTGATGTCAGACCAGTTATTAAACATAATATTCATACGGATTAAATCATAACTGAGGGAAATTAAAGTGCATAATTTCCTTGTTCCTCATAATATATAATTTTTGAAATATGCTCTTTTTAATGCATATGCATGTATGTATGTGGCAAGTCCATTGAACCTAGAAAACTAATATTTAAAAAACAAACTGATATAATTACAAAGTAACTATAAAATATTCGAAAAGAGCTTATTTCATCTAAATAACGCGATTCAACTATCACAGATTCAAGGAATCAGTAAATCAACCTATCGTTACTGAAAATCGATATGTGTGTTGGTATAGCGATGTTTACTCACACCTCTAGTTTTCACAAACTCAATGCGTCATTTCTGGCATTAAACGTTTGCAATTTCACAACAGAAAAGAAAGTTTGTTTTTTAGCTTGATCATAAATTTATAGAACTTAGTAAAATATTTTCAAAAGGTAAAGTACAAGTCAAGGATCTTACGTGAAATTGAGCACATATTAGTAAACATTTTACCTGCTTACAAAAAACTCAAAATAATGGAGGAATACATGAAATTGGTCGCCCAATACAAACGCGATATAAATTCAAACGTTGATGAAAGCAGCTCCGAGAGCGACAGCGACTCATACGTATCAATGGGACAAACGGAGCGCCGAACGTCGGTTAGAGAAACAAAAGAAGTCAATGCGGAGAGCGGAAAGCGCAAGTCTGGAACGGCGCGGCTTCCAACTAGGCGACCAGATCCCAACGTATACAACAGAAATGCATTGCTCGCGCGTGAGAATCGCCGCAAGAAGAAGGCGCACATGGAGGCAGTCGAGAAGGAGTTGAATGAAACGCGTATCACAAACCGATCGTTGCTAAAAGCGCTCAAAAAACAACTGAAGCGCACTCAGAAGCTTGAAAGAGAGTGCCAATTCCTGAAGGATACACTGGGTAACTACAAAGAAAACAAAAATGTAGCCACTCAATTAAATATGGGTATTTCATCACCGAACAACCGAGCCCCGTCGCCGGAGGGCTCCCTGATATCTGCGTATTCGAGCAGCAGCAGCTACGAACCGCCGATGGAGACCGACTCTTACGCAGGCTTCCTGAACGGCGACAATGGTAGTGTAGCCGCCGAGCAATTTGTAAACGAGACACCATCAAGTTCATGGAATGATTTTATTGACGATTTATTAACAGATTATCAGCCCACGCCAGCCTACGAAGATGAGAGCTCCACCCGATTCGTGGAGCAGAGCAGCTTTGACCTGCAGCAGAGCCAGCCATTGGCCATCATTGACGAGCATAGCTATTTCAATAAGTTTGCGGAAGTAGGCCTTTACAACCCTGATTGTGAGTGGAGTCCCAGTCGTACTCCGCCCACGCAGCTGCTGCAAGACGACGAAATCTTGTTCAGCAACGCAGACACAGACATCGAATGTATTGCAAGTCTATAAGTTATAGTTTAAGGTGTTTTTTATTACCTATTCTAAGAAGTTTTAACCATAATTAGATTAAGATATTCGAACGCGCTCTTTTTGTGAATCGATATAATTCTTTCCACATTGACAATCTTAAAACTTTATTAGCTTCGCCCATGGAGATTATGATAGAACGACAGCCCACTGCAGCAGCCCTTTGGCTTCGACGTTTAAAATTTGATTCACACTTTCAGGCGAGTGTGGAGGCGAGTTGGATAATTCATCCAGCGCGCAAATGATTCATTTGAAGGTGGGTTTCCTCGCAGGATCTGCAAAGAGCAAAAGTTCCAAATGAGACTATGATCATCTTTTTGTGCCACTTTTTCAGTTGCGGCCAGAATTTAAGACGAAACTCGAAATCTAACGGATTTCCACAATATATTTTCTTCCATGGCTGAGCCCTAACGGAAGGAGAGTTGCAGGCGTCAAGTGTATTAAATACAAGCAGGCGTTGTTTTTTATTTATTGGTTTTTATAGAATTTCAAAAGTGACAAAATTATACTAATTTATTTGGATTCTGAAATGTTTCAGATGTTTGTTATCGCACAGTCAATGTGAGATTTCATTGATTTTAGTGGACAGTGAGGCTTGGAACACCGGTATGTACTTCTATCATAACTCCTTAAAGGCATATGTTTTGTATATATACCTTCAATTATTATTATTTGTTGATTTTGGAAAGAATTATCGATACGATTTCATCATTATTATGCATTTGTTATTGAGCCCAAATAAAGCTATGACTACACAATATTTGTGACTAAGAAATTTGTTGTTTCTATTGCGTAATGAAATAAAAGATTCGTTTTAGGTATGCGGATTTATATACAGACTTTATTTGCGAGCACAAATTGTTTTATAAATGAGACTCTGAACACATTTAAGCCTTTAGCAACTTGGCATGGTATTCAATATGCTCGGCCACAAAGGTTGCTATATAGAAGTAGCTGTGGTCGTATCCCTCTCGTTGCTTGAATATAGTCTGGATGTGGTCGTTGGGGGCAGCTGCTGCTAGCAATTTTTCTGGCAGCAGTTGCTGGCCAGCGAGAAAGTTGTCGGCCGATCCCTGATCTATGAACAGCTCCTGAGGTGTGCTGGCGTACTTGGACACCAAGCTGGTGGCATCCCATTGTGCCCAATCGTCCCGGTTGGCGCCCAAATATCCAGTGAAGGCCTTTTGGCCCCATGGGCATTCCGATGGATTGGAAATTGGGGCAAATGCAGACACTGATTGATACAAGCCGGGATTTTTAAGAGCGCAAATCAATGCGCCGTGGCCACCCATGCTATGGCCGAAAATTCCTTTTTTTCCAGGCAGAACCGAGAAATTGGCATTGACCAACTCGGGGAGCTCCTGCGTGACATAGCTATACATCTTGTAGTGCTTGGACCATGGTGCTTCAGTGGCATCCACATAGAAACCGGCACCACTACCGAAATCGTAGGCATCGTCCTGGCCGGGCAGCTCCACTCCACGTGGAGAGGTATCGGGATTTACGACAATGAGGCCTTCTTTTGCTGCCGTTCGTTGGAAGCCGCTCTTCTGCACAAAGTTCTCGTGAGTGCACGTCAAACCGCTCAAAAAGTATAGCACTGGACATTCGGTCTTATCTTCAATTGCCGCTGGTGGCAGGAAGACACCAAAGGTCATGTCACAGTCCAAAACGTTGGAGTGATGTTTGTAGACACGTTGCTCGCCTTCGAAGCATTTTGTGGTCGATACAAGTTCCAGCTTCATCTTCTGCAATCAAACAACTATAGTAAACTGACAATATGTGAAGCAAAATAATTACTTTTATAGTTTGATTTGAAAAAACAAGTTTGTTCTTGGTGCGAATAAGAAATGAACTAACAATTATTCTTTTTTCTATACCGGTACGAGGGATGCCTACTGGTTCCAGGGCGGTTCCATGTTACATTTTGCAGCCCTCAAAATATCTTTGGCTGTGCTGTGAAATGTCACATTGTGCAACACCAAAATATAGCAAAACAATAAACGTAAATAAGCCGGCAGCAATTAGATTACTTACTGCAAATAATTGATATTAACTGCAATATAATGTCTGAGGAGGCACCCAGTACATCTAGTTTTGGCTTTAAGAAGCGGAATGTTAACAGAAGCGCCGGCATGCGGCGAAAGAAAGTCAGCAGCAGCAGCAGCAGTGATTCAGGTGAGTGCGAAATTGGCGCAAATATAAATGAGAAATAAATTTCTAAATAGCAGATATTTCACACACAGCTAAAAATAGCGACGAGGAGTCACATAGTAAAACCAGCGCTCTAGTTCGTGCCGAAAATCGACGAAAACGTACGAATCCCAACTTTCAGAGCACCAAAACAGCGAAACGAAGAGCGGAAGCGGGCGTCGCAGCTGGAAATGTCTCAGACAGCGATTCAGACTCTGCTGGCGATGCCAATGGAGTGCTCGTTGCATATAAATCGAAACGCGAAGCTATACCCAACGGACCGCAAGATCAAGGCGCAACCTCCATAAATGAAGTGGATACCGAACTGGACCGTGATGCCCAGGCAATCCACGCGCGCTCTATCAAAATCAACGAAGAGCTTGAAGGAAAGGCAGACGACAAGATCTACCGCGGCCTCAATAATTATGCGCAGTACTATAAGAAGAAGGACACAGCTGCTGGCAACGCCAGCTCAGGCATGGTACGGAGTGGACCCATACGGGCGCCGGCTCACCTGCGTGCCACTGTCCGTTGGGACTATCAGCCAGACATTTGCAAGGATTACAAAGAGACGGGCTACTGTGGATTTGGCGACAGTTGCAAGTTCTTGCATGATCGCAGTGACTACAAAGCAGGATGGCAACTGGAAATGGATCACGAGGCGCAGCGCAAGGGAGAATGCGATTCGGATGGGGATGATACCAAATACGAGATCCATTCGGATGAGGAGTCTTTGCCATTCAGGTGTTACATATGCAGGGGGAGCTTTGTCAATCCTGTCGTTACCAAGTAGGTGTCCACATATGCGCCTATAATAGACGTATACTAATTAATTCATTTCTGCTTCAGGTGTAAGCATTACTTTTGTGAAAAGTGTGCCTTGGCTCAGTACAAAAAATCGCAGCGTTGCATCATTTGCTCACAGCAAACCAATGGCATATTTAATCCTGCTAAGGAGCTGATAGCTCGTCTCAAAACAGAGCCCATGGAAGATTTAGATGATGATGAAGACAATGACAACAATCATCATGACGATAATAAAGAGCAAAAGGCGGCTATATCCTCGAATAGCGATAGCGATTGATAAGGATATTTTGAAAAGTTTTTAAAGAAG